TGCCATTTGGAACAGCTTTCTATTTTAATTGACAGCTTCACATTCCCCCCCCCCCCCGTCCTTTCCTCGCTCAGCCGGGTTTGGGGCTGTTGGTTGTTGTCCCGTGGCTGAGCTGTGAAGAAGCAAAGGCAGCAGGGCCAGGGCTCCCCTGACCGAGCAGCGTTCACACGAGCAGCACTTTGTGCAGCTTGGTTTTAAGGGGAAACGCGTTGAAACCTCTGGGATGTTGGGAAATGTCCCTGTCCCTCCCTGCACCCAGGGGATTTTCCAAGTGGCTGGAGCGCTGCATTGAGCAGGGAGGGGTTTATCATAGCAGAGATGCCCCAATAGCAGCACTGTGCATGGAACCCCCCCAAAACCTCAGCTAGATAAGACACCATCACATCCCAAAAGGTCTTTTCACTGTGAGCAGAGCAGCAGCACTTTGTTTCCAGTACTGGGAGCTCTGCTTGTGTGGGAAGCTACCCCCAGAGCAAAGCTCACCTCCTTTTCATCAGCTCATCACAAGAGCACCCAAGAGCTACATTTCTGCTTACCCCATGTACCCCACTCCTCAAGGGATGCTGTGCTTCCCCATGCACAATGTGTTAGCATCCTCCCTTACAGCAAAGCAAAGCTGGCAGCAGGACCGGGACCTTGTGGGATCCATCCCTGAGGATGCAGGCCAACACTCCCATGCACAAGTGCACACACACAGGTGCAAAAGGCCCAGCTGGCAGGTTTACACACACCCCATGGCATGCCCCCAGCAACGCTCATGCGCAAAACTGGCACCTGAAGGATGGTGAATGCATGGAAACACCAGCGGTGCCCACTGCTGCCCTTCCACACGCTGCAACCAACCCCAATCCTGCCTTGCCTTGCAAGAAAATCCCTGCTCGCTGATGGACACCCATCCCATGCCGACCGGCGCCGCAGGCAGTGCAGCAGCACAGCCTCTCCCAGCACAGAGGCAAAGGGAAGCAGCAAAACGAGAGGAAGGTGTGCGAAACCAGGACTAATTCAGCCCTTTGACCACAGCACCGGGGGAAGCAGCACTTGTAGGAGCACCGTGCACACCGAAAGCACTTTCCAGCCCGTCCTTTGACACCCAAAACCCACTCTAACGGAGCAGCCTTTGCCCCAAGCCTCGCCGCGCTCATGCACGTGGTGCCGCTGCCACGGCATGCTGCCATCAGCCTCGTCAGGGCTCTTCGTGCAGCATCAAGCCAAAAGGAACAGGGGAAGAGCATCACTCTGGGGCTCCGAGGAGCCCAACACACACACACACCCCAGTGCTAGCACCAGGGGCCCTGACAAACGCACCCGAACACGGCGCTTCCCCCCCGGGTACCGTACCTCATGCCTTCTGCCTCCAGGAGCGCGGCGATGGCTGCGGGCTCGGTGGCCCCGGCCCCGGCCAGGCTGCTGCGCCTGCTGCCCAGGCGGGCGCCCGCGGCCCGCGGCTCGTCATCGGAGCTGCTGTCCTCGAAGGAGCCCAGCACGAACTTGGCCATGGCGGGCCGGCGCAGCGCCGCGGGGTTGTACACGGCGAGGCGCTCCTGCTGCCCCCCCGCCCGGCCGCCCTCCGGCACCGCGCTGGGCATCACCGGGCTCGGCCCGGCCGGGGGCTTGGCCGTGGTGGGAGCTGCCGGGGGCTGCTCCGGCTTCTCCTCCTCATCGTCCTTGGGACGAGCGCCGGACATGGTGGTCAAGACGAGACGCGCGCACAGCGGCAGGAGCAGCGCTGCCGGCAGCATTCACCGGCGCTGGGGAGGACACCCGGTCAGGGCACTGCCCCCACCGCCGCCATCGCTCCCCACAGCGGTGCCAAGGCCCCGACGGAGCTATTTTTACTCCCGGGACGAGGAGCGGTGCTGGCAGAGGGAGCCATGGGGGGGGCCCGGCGCCGCTCTGCCTTCACACAGCATGAAGGGGGTGGAACGGCCCCCGGCTCCCCACAGCACCCTAAGGAGGGCAGTGAGGCCGCCCCGCTGACCCCAACCCAGCTCCATACAGAGGGGGGACCCTTAAACTGATCCCCCACCACCCCAGTCTCCACAAGCCATTAAAGCCAGAACCAGCACAGCCCCAGGCTCCCCTCAACCCTGACCCCTCCCCATGGGGAAGCGCCCCACGCTCACCATGGGCGCTGAGCTCCGTGCGGGTGCGATGAACGCGGGCAGCGCCGGCTCCTCGCCCCGGTGCCCTCAGCCGGGCAGGGTGCCCATGGCAGCCCCGGAGCCAACGGGGGCCAGCCCGTGCCCCGGCCGCCGGTGCCGTCCCCACACGTGACGGTAACGTCAAGGGAGATGTTTGTGTGCCTGGAGGAGAGGGGGGGCAGGCATGGCCGGCAGGGACACCCGAGCCTTGGGGGACAAAGGTGCCCTGGCCTTGTGCCTGCTCATGGGGATGAGGGGAAGGACAAGAGCCTGCTCCGTGGGGCTTGCCTGCACAGGGGGAGCGGGGATCCCCCCCCAAACCAGCACCCATCGCTGAGCCAGGGACACCCCTAAACCAGCACCCATCGCTGAGCCAAGGACACCCCCAAACCAGCACCAATCACTGAGCCAGGGACACCCCCAAACCAGCACCCATCACTGAGCCAGGGACACCCCCAAGCCAGCACCCATCACTGAGCCAAGGACACCCCCAAACCAGCACCCATCGCTGAGCCAGGGACACCCCCAAACCAGCACCCATCGCTGAGCCAGGAACACCCCTAAACCAGCACCCATCACTGAGCCAAGGACACCCCCAAACCAGCACCAATCACTGAGCCAGGGACATCCCTAAAGCCAGCACCCATCGCTGAGCCAGGGACACCCCCTAAAGCCAGCACCCATCGCTGAGCCAGGGACACCCCCTAAAGCCAGCACCCATCGCTGAGCCAGGGACACCCCCAAACCAGCACCCATCGCTGAGCCAGGGACACCCCCAAACCAGCACCCATCACTGAGCCAAGGACACCCCCAAACCAGCACCCATCGCTGAGCCAAGGACACCCCCAAACCAGCACCAATCACTGAGCCAGGGACACCCCCAAACCAGCACCCATCACTGAGCCAAGGACACCCCCTAAAGCCAGCACCCATCGCTGAGCCAAGGACACCCCCAAACCAGCACCAATCACTGAGCCAGGGACACCCCCTAAAGCCAGCACCCATCGCTGAGCCAAGGACACCCCCAAATCAGCACCCATTGCTGAGCCAGGGACACCCCCAAACCAGCACCCATCCCTGAGCCAGCGACACCCCTAAACCAGCACCCATCGCTGAGCCAGGGACACCCCCTAAAGCCAGCACCCATCACTGAGCCAGGGACACCCCCAAACCAGCACCCATCACTGAGCCAGGGACACCCCCAAACCAGCACCCATCACTGAGCCAGGGACACCCCCAAACCAGCACCCATCACTGAGCCAGGGACACCCCCTAAAGCCAGCACCCATCACTGAGCCAGGGACACCCCTAAACCAGCACCCATCACTGAGCCAGGGACACCCCTAAACCAGCACCAATCACTGAGCCAGGGACACCCCCTAAAGCCAGCACCCATCGCTGAGCCAGGGACACCCCCAAACCAGCACCCATCACTGAGCCAGGGACACCCCCAAACCAGCACCCATCGCTGAGCCAGGGACACCCCCAAACCAGCACCCATCGCTGAGCCAGGGACACCCCCAAACCAGCACCCATCACTGAGCCAGGGACACCCCTAAACCAGCACCCATCACTGAGCCAGGGACACCCCCAAACCAGCACCCATCGCTGAGCCAGGGACACCCCCAAACCAGCACCCATCACTGAGCCAGGGACACCCCTAAACCAGCACCCATCACTGAGCCAGGGACACCCCCAAACCAGCACCCATCACTGAGCCAGAGCCTCACCTCAGCCCCCCCCTTTGCCATTTTCCTGCCACTTTGATCACACCATACCATAAACTGAGCAGGTTTTATTTAAAAAAACCCAAACTGGGGAAAAAAACCATCCAACTGGGAAAAACCCAAACAAACAAGAAGTACAAACACCCCTCCCCCCCAAAAGTACAGACTTCCCTTGCACTAGGGTTGCCTCTCAAAGGAAATGCCAAGGAAAAGCCTTATAGGAGTATCCTATAAGAAGCGATGCAATTCCCAACCAAGGCACTTCAGTTAAAGGAATTAAGGAGACCAAGATGGACTGGAAGCTAATTCCAATGGGAAGGGCTAATTCCAGCCTTGCCTTCACCCTGGAAGCCCCCCAGTTAGTTCCAGCTGTGGCTAGAGACTGCTCCTATGCAGGCAAAGCACAAAGCTCCCTCTGTTGTAAGATCTCCTGCGCCCATCAGCTGGAACAAACCCAGTGCCTCCCGCAGGTACCAGAGCTCAGTCCTCACAACCCACCCATCAAACCAGCGCTAACACACCCAGAACAACGGGAGAGCTTAGGGGTTTTCCTCTCTAAATGCCAACAGAAAGCTCAGGGCACCACCAGAGCCTTGGTCACGGTCTCCTCGTGGCTGCTGGGGGGATTTACCCTCCAATCTTGAGAGCACGGATACCCCAAGTAACCCTTCTGACAGGGTGCAGCCTTTAGAGTCCCAAGGGGCCGTGGTCCTGCTAAATCTTGCAACAGCAAAAAGCTAAACCCAAAAGCATCTGCCTTTTGTCCATGGCATCAGCTCCCCGATCCCAGAGAGGAAACCTGGATTTGCAGCGGGAGGAAGCACAAGAAGGTATTTACAACAGTGAGCTGTGTCACCTGGGAGCACCGACATCCCTTCCAAGAGCCTGGAAGTACATTCCCATCGCACCAAGGAACACAAAGTAATACCCAACTCTTTGCTTCACGCTAGGCAGCGAGTCACCCATCCAACCCACCAGTACGCTCTTCAGAACAGAAGAGCCCTTTAAAACGACAACATTTGTGACTGTTTGGTCCTTTCTTCTTTGCTCAACATTCCCAGGTCAGCAGGAGCTCCTCGGGAACCAGACAACCCCGAGCAGGGGCTGTCTCGAGGCGTCAGAGCCCAGCGCGGCTCAGAGCGCTCTCCAGTCAATGGGCTTCTTCCCGGCTTTCCTGAGCAGCTCGTTGGTCTTGGAGAAATGCCGACAGCCAAAGAAGCCTCTGTTGACAGAGAGGGGCGAGGGATGCACCGTCTGCAGGACGTGGTGGCGTTTCTGGGGAGCACCAGAGGAAACCTCTCATTAGATTCCTGTTCTCAGCACCCGGGACGAGGCTGGCTGCTTCACCTCTGACCAAGCGGGACGGCCCCTCTGCACCTCCTCAGCCACCAGCCTGAGCACCCAAAGGGCTGGCCGTGAGGACCGAGCCTTCTGCCCCACTGAGCAGAGGGGGATGGACTACATGAAGCAGCAGTAATACCCTGGCCATGGTTCAACTGCTGCACTCATAACAGCAAGTTTTATGCTATTCCTAGAAAAGGCAATAGTTCTGTCCCCAAGTGGAGGCTTTTCTGACAACAGAAGGTTGCGCTTGCTCCACTTTTGTTGCTCAATTCTGGCAAAGGCCAAGCTTGAACAGACAGGGAACTAAATCTGACAGCAGAGCAGGGAGAAAACCCCAGTTCTGTAAGGGAAGTGCCCTCTAGTGTCCACCCAGCTGAGGAAAACGGAGGCAGGAGAGGAGGAGAAGCCGTACCCTGTCAATGGAGCTGCCTTTCTTCTGGGCATAGGCTCCCCAGAGCATGAAGACCACCCCGTGCAAGTTCTTGTTGAGCCAGGACACCACGACGTCCGTGAACTGCTCCCAGCCTCTCTCCTTGTGCGACGTGGCCTGGTGAGCCCGCACCGTGAGGACAGCGTTGAGCAGCAGCACCCCTAGCAAACACACAGAGCATGGAACAACAGAGCAGGGCTTTGCTTCTTCCTGCTTCCCAGAGCAATGGTAAGTTCCATTTTCATTCTGTGGCATCCACTAAGCATGTACTCAGAACTCATGGCGTCTTTTACTGTTTCCAAGCATGGGGCTGTTTTATTACAAGGCCTTTATATGACCTACAGCAGGTTCATTACGAGAGCATCTGTTAACTCACCTTGCTTGGCCCAGCCAGTCAGATCACCATGACCAGGATGAGTGAAGTCCTCGATATCCGTAGATAATTCCTTGTAAATGTTTTCTAAGCTGCAAGAAAAAACCACCAGATGCTTTTTAATGTCTAAAGATAAGAGCAAACAAACAGCACCACTCATTGCTCTTACCCTCGGCAAGAACAGCAGTGACTTCAATCGGATTTAAAGGAATCCTCCCTGTGAGGGTGCTGAGGTGCTGGCACAGGGTGCCCAGAGAAGCTGTGGCTGCCCCATCCGTGGCAGTGCTCAAGGCCAGGTTGGACACAGGCTTGGAGCAAGCTGCTCCAGTGGAAGGGGTCCCTGCCCATGGCAGGGGTTGGAGCTGGAGGAGCTTTAAGGTCCCTTTGAACCTAATTCATCCTAGGATTCTATGATAATAAAGCCATTTATAGAAGCAGAGCAGCAAGGCCAGGTTGGACGAAGCCTTGGGTGGCATGGCTTAGTGTGAGGTGTCTCTGCTCGTGGCAGGGGGGTTGGAACTGCATGATCTTAAGGTCTTTTCCAACCCTAACTATTCTGTGTTTCTACGATTCTAAGGCCCTTTGAGTGTCTGGCTGGAGGCTAAATAAGGAAGTCTCAGCACAACTGAAAATGCAAATTTACACCCAACCACACTCTTCAGAACCACAAAGTACCCAGAATTATCCACGCTTCTGCAGTGATGGGTTTTAATAAGCAAAGCACAACTCAGCTTGAAGCATCGCAACTCAGCTCACAGCAATCATGGGGCTCACAGCTGTAACTTGCTTGTAACAGGGGGTTTGCAAAACAGGCATTGTCATACCTGGGGGGAGGTGGAACAGGCTTCTGGACACTGAAACAGAGCCCATGAGCTTGATTAGGGCCATGGTATGGATCCTGTCCCAGAATGACAACCTTCACCTGAAACCACACCTTTGTTAGCACTCAATTATTATCAGCATAACTCCCAAAAGAGGTAGAGAAAAAACAGAAGGCTTTTAAACAAACTCCATCTTAAACCAAGCTTACAGACCACCAAAACCCACCCCAAACCACCCAAGAACTGAAGTTTAAACCACTCGCATCTCATTGTAAGCAAGTTAAAGATCGCAATCCCCACCTAACACTAAGGACTAGCATTCCCACAGCTTTGCTGCCATATGAGGATAATTTTGAGTGGAGAAACCAAACATTTCCATGAGCCATAGTAAACCCCTTTATTAAGGCAGTTTCCAAGTAGAGATTTTAACACTTCAGTTTTATGCCACTCCTGCTATGATATTTTTATACAGTTTATGGGCAATAGGACTGCCTTAACCGTTGGGTTTTTTTTTTAATTACAGTTCATTACAGACCAATTAAAAACAGAAGAGATGCAAAAGAGACAAAACCCAAGCATGCCATTAAGCTGGTAACACTGGAAATAAGGCCGAAAGTCCAACTAAAGTTTTAAAGGTAATTCTATGACCAATAAGGGTAATAAAATAATAAAATATCACTATCAAGGATGAAAGAGACGCCGGGATTTATGAGTTATGTGAGAGAAACAGCAGCGCCTGCATCGCATGGGACTGAAGCTTACCAGACCAAGCATCAAGCAACCACACCAGCACCCCCAGCCCTGCCTTTTCATCGTTCTGAACGCAGCAGAGACCCCACACCCACCCCGCGGCTCTACTCACATCCCTAATGTCGCACATCTGCGTCCAGGTGAAGACTTGCTCGGGGGGCGGATACACCGTGTAACGCTTCCTCTCCTCTGCCACGAAATCCATCAGCTGCGGGGAGAGGAAGTGAGCCCGGGACTGCGGGGAGCAGCGGCCGCCAGGCCTGGGGCCATGCCCATTCACGGACCCACCTGCACGAAGTAGGGCTTGGAGAACTCCGCGGCCAGCTGCCGCCGCCAGCTCTCCCCGAAGCCCGGCGGCACGTTGCGCTCCGCCAGCCGCTGCCGCGCCGCCTCCTTGTTCTTGCGGATCCGCTCCAGCTGCTCCGGGCTCAGCAGGGAGGCCTCCCCCGTCCCATCTCCCGCAGCCTTCGCCTTCTTCGCCGCGCTGACCTGGGAGCAGCGAGGGAAGAGACGGATGCAGAGCGGCCCGGGGGCACCGCGGCCCAGCCATGGCCGCAGCAGGAGCCCCGCTGCCACCATGGCCCCATCAAGCACCACCCTCCGCACGCGGGTATTTCGCGGCAAAACAGCGTCGGGCCGCTCCCCATTGGCAGCAGCTCCGCGCGGGGCCCGCCCACAAGCGGGAGCACGAATTCTCTCTCTCCCTATTGGTACACGGCAAAGCGCCCGCTCCTCCCGATTGGCTCGCCGCAGCCGGCGGAGAGGATTTCTACCTAGCAACCGTGACGACGCGGCGGTTCTCAGCATCCATTGGGCGGCGGCGGCGCGCGGCCTTGATTAGCAGCTCATTCAAGCGTGCTGGGAGCGCGGGGTTTTTGGAAGCGGCGGGCAGGGAGCGCTCCTCTCACCCCAGCACCCCAAAACGCGCCAGCGCCGCGCACCCCAACACCCCCAGACCCCCGTTCACCTCCAGCCCCTCTCCCCCCTCCACAGCCGGCTCCAGCGCCGCCGGCTCCCCCAGCCCGCTACCTCAGCGTCACCGCCGGGCTCCGAGGAGCGGCTGCGCTTCCTCTCCGGCGCGGCGCTGAAGAAGCAGTGCAGCGTCTGCTGCCCGATCATGGCGGCGGCGGGGATGGAGGGGATGGAGCGGCGGCGGCGGCGGCGAGCGAAGGGGATGCGGATTTGGCGCCAAAACCGCGCGCGTAAGCGCTGTAGGCGGAGTCTCGCCGGAGGGAGGGGAGTAGAGCACTCCCTGACGCATGCGCGCTCGCCCCGCATCTCCCGGTCCCTCAGGCGGCCGCCTTCCCGCCGAGCCGGCCCCGATCCTAATCCCGATCCCGGTCCCGATCTCGATCCAAGTCCCGGTCCCAGTCCTGATCCCGATCCCAGTCCCGATCCCGATCCCGATCCCGATGGACAGGTTCGTGGTTAAACGCCCCCCCGGGGAGGCAGGGAGCAGCGGGAAGAGGCCCCGGCAGGAGGAGCCTGCGCCGGGGCAGCCCCGCTGGCAGGAGATCCGGGCCGAGGGCCTGAGCTGCGACTACCGGCTGCTGTTCGGCAAGGCCGAGGCGGACGAGATCCTGCAGCAGCTGGAGGAGCAGGTGGAGTACTTCGAAGGTAAGGGCTCCGCCGCCCCGTGAGGTGCTTCCCGTGGCCGGGGCAGCAGTGCCGAGGCCTCTGCAGCCGCCTGGTGTGTGCAGGATGGCCCTGAGAAGCTGAGAGCAAGCCCAGGTCCCGTCCCACACGGTTAAGCTGTCAAGTGGTTTAATTCCCGTTTTAAGGCAGCTGGGGTAATCCTGGGACAGTGGTAGGAGTGTGTTGGTACATATGAGATATCCCCCGGCGTGTTAATTCAGCAGCAGAATGGGATCTGCGTGCTAATCCCATTCATCCCACTCAAGTGGGATAGTGAGGCAGTGACAGAGCCGAGTGCTTCAAGAAACACCTGAAGTTTGTCACAGCCGTCCCCTTGTTGCCCCACTGGAGTCACAGAAGCCCCAGATCAAGAGAATGTTGAGCTCTGCAGAGGTGACACAGAACTGGGTTTGGTCCTTCTCATTTCTCCTTTCAACAGGTGAAATGACCAAAGTGCAAGTGTTTGGCAAATGGCATGAGATTCCAAGGAAGCAGGTAACCTATGGAGACCCCGAGTTAACGTACACATACTCAGGTCTTACCTTCTCCCCTAAGCCGTGGATCCCAGTTGTGAACCGTATCAGAGAGCGCGTCACCTCGGACACAGGACACACTTTCAATTTCGTGCTTATCAACAGGTATGTCTGGTTTCTGACTGCACCCAGCAGCTTGTGCAAGTGGAAAGCTGCTTGTGCAACCCTTGACCCATCACTGAGGAGCTGTTTGACGTTCGTTTGACAGGTACAAAGATGGTGAGGACCACATAGGTGAGCATCGGGATGACGAGAGAGAACTGGTTCCCCGCAGTCCCATTGCATCCGTGTCCTTTGGAGCTTGCAGGGACTTTGTCTTCAGGCACTGTGCTTCCCGAGGGAAGAATGCAACACGCCACATCAAGCCCATCAAGCTGCAGCTAGCCCACGGGAGCCTCCTGATGATGAAGTACCCCACCAATGTGTATTGGTACCACAGTCTGCCCCCCCGCAAGAGAGTGCTTGCCCCAAGAGTCAACCTCACATTTAGGAAAGTGATGGCTATAGCCAAGAAATGAAATATTCAGCAATCAAGCTCCCAGTCTTTTAACTCTGAAAATAGAAGCTTTCTTTCCCAAAGTAACTCAGTTTCTCATTCACTGTCTTTGATGATCCAAGGTACAAATTAAACCAAGAGAGGAGACAGCGTTCTCAGTAACTTGCTAATAAAGACTGCAACTGCTGATCTTAAATGCCAGGAATACTTTGTCAAATGCTGCTGTAGCTCTGCTGATACATGTTTTTAATGAGCAAGACCCTTGTTCTGCTCAGGAGGAAGTTTGTTCTCAACTGATCTGCATCTAGCCAGTTTGTAGCCTCTGAAACAGTTTATAATTACTATAAAGTACAAGGTGTGATCATTGGAAGCTGATGCTGTTCAACAGGTGACACTTTCTTGTCTGCTCTGTCAATAAGCTATAGTTTGCTTATTTTTTTAAGAATAAAATACAACTGAGACTGCCACAAAGAGGAGGAGCGCTAAGATACAGATGCAGTGAGTGTAGCGGGGCTGGCTGCATGTTTTACAGTCACTGTGTCTGCAGATACTCCTCTGCCTCCTCAGCTGAGGTGGGAGTCTGGGTTCTTTTGGTCAGTGGGAAGGAGAAAGCTGTGCATGGACAGGGTCCTTTGTACAGAAACCAGGCAGCATGACTTTCTGGGGAGAGACCGGGTTGGACCATTTACAATGCAGTGGGAAAGGCTGTGCCTTCTGAGAGTGTTTTTCTAAATGATTATCCCTAGGGATCCATTCTGACTACCTGGAAGCCATCACCTTCCATGCTGCTGGTGAATCCTGAGGAGATGAAGAAGGACCTTCCAAAGTCACCAACAGGTCTTGTGATGGTGAGTACCGAGTGAGAACGTGACCTGAGCCCGGTGTAACCAGGCCACAAGCACCTAAATTAGTGATGGGCTCCATCCTTCAGTGCTGGGTTGTTAGGACTGTGGAATTAACATCTGTTTAGAGCATTTGGAGTGGGTGCTTCCTACTCTCTGCCACAGGAAATGCTATGTGTAAGTAAAAAGCTGCATGAATGCTTCTTACTCAGAGAACTTGAAGTGCTGCTTCTGTCACGCATACCAAACGCAGTTTGGCTTAGAGCTTGGTCTTCATTTCAAGACATTACCACATGTGAAAATAAGTTTGTTCTTTTATTGCTACTGTACAGTTACAAAAATACCCTGAAGTGAAAACGCAACTTCAAACAGCAGTGCAGTGTCTGACTGATACCACACATCTGAAATAATGCACAGAATAATCCAAACGCAGGGATGTCATCTTGAAGCTCTTCTCAGATGGTCTTTTACATTTCATTAATGCCTTCTCCACCATGGAAGCTTGTGAGTAACAAGCACCAGTATTTGATGAGCCTCATGTGCCTGCAACAAACCCAGTGGCTTCTGAAGGTGAGGGTTGGGTGGCAAACATCTGCACAGGTCTTTGATGCTCACAGGAGCTGGGAGTGTCCAGCACAGCTCAGGACCAAGGTGCTGATGCTCCCTTCCTCACACCAAGGGCTTAGCCAAGACCATCTACTCCTTCCTACTAGTGAAAGCTAGAACAATGCTGGCTACTCAACCCTCATCTTTACAGCCCTTGAGGAAGCTTTTGGAGTAAATCTGCAGCTGGGTGCAATGGAGCAGTTATTTACCATTCTCATCAAGCAGGCCCCTGTTGGAAAGCAGCTCTACACAAAATACATTGAACACAGAAGCTGGCAGCAACACGTGGCTTTATGTCTCTGGTACAAGCTGACAACTTAGTCCATTGTGTGCATATGTTCTGACCCACCTCCAGCATTGCCACTTGCTAAACCAAGTGCCCTGTCCAGATGAACCTCTCCAAAATTCAGTTAAAAACCCTAAACAGACCATTGAGAACAGAGAATACACACTGCTGGCAGTGGAAATTGTGAAGTTGTGAGGTACAAATGGGATACCTGCTGGAACTGGGTGCTTTGCTTGATGTCTTCCATGACTTCATAGATGCACATCAGAGCTGCCCCGAATGGAGGGAGGGCTTTCACCTTCCACAAGTCCATTAGCTCTTAGGTCAGTGGCCCTGTTTGGCATTTTGCATCCTTCTGGTGTTTTTTATTTATTCTAGTGTTTTGCTTGTTGCTTTTTCATAACTTAAAATAGAAAGGTTAAAACCATGCTACAGCCTAGCACAGAGAGAGAGACTCCTTAGGAACTAGTACATCAGTGGATTTATAGACTATTTTAGGTACTGTGAGCATTACCTGGAGCAGGAATTGTGATCCATACTCTGGAGTGATGAGTTGTGTAGATGGTTTTGCATACACATCCATGACCACTCCTATTCTGGCTGGTTTCTTGGAGCTCTGGATGCCTGTGAGCTTTGGGCAGCAATGTGAATACATGAGGTACAGTTGCCTTAGAAAGCTATTAAGACAGTTGTTAGCATTGGAAAACTTGGTTGCTGTTTTACACTGTAAAAGCTTGTCTGATGAATGATGCTTTTTCTCCTCCAAGCTCACAAGGATGGAAAAGAGCTAAAAGGAGCTTACATACTTCATCCCTGGTCATTTAAAAGCAGTCAAAGGGATCGGGTTTGCTACTTCTCCCTCTGTGCTTAGTTTCGGGTTTACTTTTCTCTTACACCTCACACAATCCAGAGCAGCAGAGCACAATTCCCTTCTGTTCCTGCAGCAACCTGTGTCTCATGCAGCACCACCAGGCTTTGCAGGCTGCTGTATGACTTCCACAGGCAAGTGAATGCCCCCAACCCCGATTCAGTCATGCAATCTCTGACTTCCCAAGGGGGCTCTCAGCTCACAGTCACAGCCAGCACAAGCTCAACAGCAAGGCAGACAGCACAGATCTGAATGGTCTATGAGAAATGGCAGTCTTCAGCATTAAAATAGGAAGGGCAAGTCTAGAACACGAATTACAGTAGCCTTGAAATCACAGCATTAAAAGTTGTAGTCAATACTACAAGCAACTGTACTGAACAGTTTCAGAGTGACAAGGAAATGATAATACTGGTCACCAGCAAACGCTCCTGTCTCTTGAGTTCAGCCATACTGCAGAGACAGAACAAATCAGGGGCTCAGCTAAAATAGATTAAAAAACCCTCTGTTTTCTCCTGGAAAAAGGAAACTGCACTTTGCATCAGCAGAAGTACTTCTGTGATGTCTGAAGAACTAAAATATCAGGAAGATGGTGTGAACAGGGAAGTTGGGTTTTGGCTCATGCATGTTATGTAGAGATGCCTTACTTTACCGATCAGCTGGGATATCGAGATCTGATTCCATTAGCAGTTCATCCCGTCATCTCGAGACATTTATCAGAACACAACACACGCAGTGGACTCAGACAATGGTGATGTAGCTCTTCACATAGGCTCAAGGCACTTTGTTTCTTAAATCATTGCCTTTGATAGCAGGAGCTTCCCATCAACCACTCCTGGGGCTGCCCTGTTCAGAAACACCTGCAGTGAAACGTGTAGGATTAAGCATCTCCCTGTGAAAACGTACATGTATGGCAGAGGATGGAACACAGCCCTGGGAAGCCTGTTTGCAATGTCTGTTTCAGGGCTGTGATGTTGGCAAAATCACTACCTAACAGAATAAATACTCCTTTAATCCAGCTCTGCTCCAGGCTGCACAACATCAGCAGACCAACTCTGGTACAAACACAACTCCCAGCAGGAGCCAGCCTTTGCCATAGAGGAGGGGAAGGTTAAAGGGCCTGTGGTGGGTTATTTGCATAACAGACAGGAGGTGCCACGTAGATCTCATTAGAGGAATTCTGTCGGGTTTTGTCCTTCTCTCTTCATCACTGTTCAGCCTTTGACTCCAAGCTCTGGTGCTGTACCCTGGAGTGAACACGCTCATAGAACAGCAGGTAGGCGCTGCAGGAGAGGACCTCTTGCAGGCTGGCTTTGCGGACGGTGTCGTCTGAGATCCACAGCCACTGGCTGCTGACAGCGAAGGGGCTGCGGGGGGAAGGCGGGGAGCGACGGTAGGTCACAAAGTGTCCCGAGTGCATGTCGCCGTGGTGAACCACCACTGCCATCAGGCGGTAAAGGTACACGGGGGAGCTGAAGGACACACAGAAACAAAGGTCAGCATCACACCGGGACCAGACGCAGCCCCAGTTGCTTTGTCTTCAGCTGCAGTTTCTTTGTAGAGCAAATTGATGCTCTAAGAGACACGCTACCTTGCAATTACTTTTCTGTACAGCAAGTACCCACTGCACTGCTGCCTTATTCCATTCCCAAGAAAACCATTTAGGGTTACTGTGTTCTGTACAGCATTACTTGCAACAGCATGTTCCATCAAACCTACCAAAGTGCCACTGCTCCGTTCTTAAAGCACTGTTAACTGGACAGAAAAGCTATTATAGAAAACTCTGCTTTTAACCAAAAGGATAAAATTGCAGCAGGTAATCCGTGACTTACTGCAACCAGAGAAAGGAGATTTTGAGTTCTGCTTGCAGCAGATTCTACTGCCATGGAGAAATGGAGCCAGAGAGGAGCACCAAAAATCAGCCAAGAGGAAAGCAAGTATTTCCACGCAGAAGGTGGGGTAATGTGAAATTCGGTGACTGCAGCTTCAGAATGAAGACAGAACAAAGGAAGCTATAAATGGAAGGGACAGAAGTTACATGATAGGATACAAGTCTAACTTACCTGCATTCTGGGAATGCAGCAAGTGGGAAAGTTCCCGAGGACATTAAAAAGGAAGAGGGGCAGGCACCATTCACGAAGTGTGGTTTAGTGCCTGATGGTTGTTCTGCACCTGCAAGAGAAAGGAGACAGTAACTCAACTCAAATGCTACTGTTAATATTGCTAATAACTGCAGGTGCTTCTATCCCTGCAACACGTCACAGAATACAAAGGTGGTTTATTGACTTTAATTCATGACATACCACAATCCCTTAGAAGATGCCATTCCCAGCACCTTCTTATGCTTGTCCTGAAGCCTTAGAAGACATCACTAACAAGTCCCTAGGACTTCCCCATTCAACATTCCTTCATCCTTTGGTCATAAATCCTGTTCTGTGCTATCTAGGAATTTGTGTTTGTTTGTAAGGTTTAATATTTAAAAGGATCAAATTAAATTATCAAAAGAGAACTGTAAATTTGGAGCAGGGAATCCTAATGCTTGCTGGAAAAGGGATTTCTATGTGTCCTCTTTGCACAGCTCTAAATAAAGATACTGCTTTTGCATTCATTCTGCAGATTAGAATGGTTTATCACTGAAAAGCAGAAATACCTGATCTGGTGTATTTCACAGTACCTGCAGGTTTCACTGCTATCCCATCCTTTGTTCCAGGTGCTGCCTCTTCAGAGTTCTTCTGATTCAGCTCAGTCTGGCTGGACTTGTGAACAGGAACGTGGTATTTGTAGATGTCCATGATGAGGAACTCATTGAACTGCACGTGTTCATGACGCTTCAGAGGAGTGCCTTGGTTTGACCAGCTCAGTCTTTGCAGATGGATACACAAACACTGAGGGAGCTTCAGCAACATTGCAGAGAAAAGGAGAGTCAAAATCCCATTTTCAATGAAAAGAAACTGCTGTGCAAGTTAAAAGCGTACTAAAGGACCTGGTGAGTCTAGTGGATAAGGAAGTGCATCACTGAACTGTTCCTTTATGTGCTACTAGAAATGTTCACTCCAGTTTGTTGGAATGAATTGTAAAACATGGCTAATACTCAGTAAGTAATGGCTCTGCACAGAGAGAGTACCAGGGAGTTACAAATGTCTGACATTCAAAGTCATGCCAGGGTTAACCTCTATCAATAAGTACACACTACTGTTGAGGGCACTGAGGATGAAAACTGGACATCAGGCAAAGAGATGAAAGAAAGAAATTGCTGTATAGTGGGATTTAAAATAGATTTGGAGGGTTAGCTTGACTCACCTTTCCTAACTTTAACTGCTTAACAAATGTTGTTCTCTGGTTTTCTATGCTCTGTCCATTCAGAATGCCTTCTGCCTGAATCTGAAATCAAAAGAAAAAGAATAAAGCCATTTGATTACCTGCTGTGCTCGATTACACATAATAGTGCAGGTCTGCACACTGCAGACAAAAGCAATTCTCTATCTAGAACTATGCTTGGTGCGTTAATAACACCTGCAGTTTTCTAGGGACTTTAAGAATAGTTGGTCTGTCCTAATGGATCAGAACTGTAAGCCAAAATCAAGCCAAAAGGAGCATTTACAGAACAAGCCCAGTGCCCAAGTCTGTGTGTAGTCACATGCCATTGCTGTTGGCTTTCCCATGAGCCACTCTGGCTCTGTGCTGTCATCAAACTACAGGCAACTGCTTGAAATACCAGACCAAAAAATTATCCCAAATATTACCTAAATAATACCTGGTAATTACAGAATCAAATACTTGTCAGTTTTGTAATATTAGTAATCAATAAAGCTTTAAAGTAGTCTGTGAGCTAAGAACTCCATCTTAAATAGAAGAAATCCCAGGCAGGCGAGCAGCTTTCCTACAGTCATGAAGAAAGGAACAGGACACTGAAACTTCAACTCTGTCAGCAGCTTCCAACTGAGCTAGAGGGTTACTTAAATGAAGAGGACATACTTTAGTGCAGTTGTCACACACCACATCCTTCACAGATTCCGAGGAGATGAAATGGTGGAGGCAGTGGTCCAGCGTCATGGGGCGACCCTTAGTACAAATGAAAACCACAGTTACATGGAGTAGGTTTAGGGTGCACGAAACTTACTTTTGTGAAAGGATTTTTCCTTGTTTCTTCCATAGAAACTACAGAATTGCACACTTACTTCTTGAGAAAACTGACTAAATGGCTTTGAGTGTAGAACACTGATAATGTTAACTATGGGGATCACTCTTTGGCCTGGATTAAACACAGAAAACATTCCAGCCTGTGGATAAGAACAATGGCTGAGTCCCCCCAGATCTGCAGTGTTTTGTCATTCACTGTTTTTCAGCGAGCCAAAAAGAAACAAACAATTCCAGTTGCAATCACTCAATCCAAAAGCCTGTATTGGGTAACTTGTGTGCTATCACCACAGAGACAAAGCAGCTGAAGGTCACCTGCCAGGGCTGCCAGAAACAGCCCTCAGGATATGATCTGGTCTGTTCAAATTACACAGAAAGAAGCAAATACCCCACCAGGAGAAAACCCTGCTGGAGTCAACAAAGTCATGCTTGTACTCACTGGTACAACAGCATGTTAGTGATCAGGTTCTGTACTAGCAAAACAGGATCATTTCTGAAAAGGCAAGTAAATAAACTGTAGCTTCTCATTTACACTTAGGCTGGAGCATCTTAAAAAGGGACTAATGAAGCTAACACTGTGTCAACGAGGCAATAAGCAGACTGGCTTGCGGTCAGGGAGAGATACGTACCCACACAGCTGCTGGAATGCTCAGGGAGAGACTGTCAAAGGTATCGTACCTCACAGGGCTCTGCACGGAAACATTTCACACATCCAGTGAGCTAAAATTCAGGATAATCCACATAAAACAACCCCAAAACACCCCAGCCTCACGCAAGATGAACACATGCTCCCTGCTGTCCCCGATGGTCAGTGGAATGAGGTCAAACCCTGCATGTTCCAAGTACCAAAGGTGCAACTTCGCTTCTCTTCTGCCCCTTGTTTGCAAGGCTTTGAGGAGTACAAACTTCTCCAAATGAGATTTACTTTCTGTATTTTTTTCTTTATCCAGGTTGCCTTCCCCTCCTTCCTCTGGATAACTGGACTGCAACTGAAGCTGGCTTTGCATGTGCCTTCTCAATGCTGCACGTGGAATGACTAGCTAGTCCTAAAGCACTACCCACGTGAGTGGATTTTCAGTAAGTGGTAGCTGTGGGATTGGACACTAAATATTCAGCTATTATTCTGTCTGCTAAGACAGCCCTCAGACCCACAAAATGGATCATACAATGTTCTTCAGTATATTTAGGGTTACATTCTTGTTCACCACCAACACCATAAGAAGTACCTGAAAAAGTAACAGCCTGAGCTGTCAGTCCTGCAAGTCTTTAGTGCTTAAACCAACTATGTCAGAAACAAGGGGTGGTGGTTTCAGAACCATCCTTTTTCACACACACCTATTACCAGACGCACATTCTCATACCTGGTGTTCACAGTGTTTGCAAACCATGTTGCTGGTGAGCCTTCCATGAAAAGGATGTGGAGATTTCCAGTGATTTGGCACGAGGGGAAGAGATCCTGAAACACAAAGTGGAAATTGTCCTTTTATTTTCAATACATCTTGTGTTCGTTGCTATAATTCTACGTTTTTGGTCCACTGTAATAAAAGTAACTGCTCTAAAACATGTTCTGTCCCACTGACACATAATTAATGGGTTTTTAACAGCTCAAAAGATGTATTTCAGTCCAATACAGACAAAGCTCAATCAATATTAACCCCTTAATAAACACAGTGACTACACTATGAATATTCACATGTCAGAATGGAAAAAGGCATACCTCTTGTTCTGCAGCTTATTTGCTTTTGGGTTATTTCTGGCTGCTACAGAGGAAGATAAAAGATTTCATTAACCCTATCTTAGAAAGCACCGAGTATTAAATATGTTCTTATTTCATCCCTAATACGCTTCTTTGCCACTAGAACAATTGTGTGGGCTTAGTGTCTCTTTATATTTGATGAAGGCCAGAAAACCAGGTACACAGCAAACTTATAATTGACAAAAAGAACAATTCTAGTGAAGTGAGTACTTAAGCTACAGAATCCTCAGTCTTGGAGTATAAAATAAAGCCAATTTTATAACCCTTTTGTATCTATTTTAGACAAAAAGTGATAGCAACTTGCCATCTGCATGAAGTTTGCCACTAACCTGGAGGCTGAGATAAATTTCACCTCCAAATGGACTATTCTGTAAGTGTCCATTTTGCAGTTTTCAAACCTCTTTCATGGGTCAGCTCTTACAGATAAGAGTGCTTAGATGGACTGCCATTCCATGGCTCTATTTCAGTCCCTACATTGAATGGCATCTAGGGATGCAAAAGCCGTTGTGAAACTGGGATCACTGTAAATTCAGTGTGAATTCCCTTATGGAAATCATTTTTCATGCTTCAGATTCCCTGCCTTGTTGATTCATTTCTATCAGAGCACTAAAGAACAGCTTTGTAAGCACAATGAAACATCTTCCATTTCTAAACAGACACTTTATCCTTGACACCCTTAGGAATGTAGGCAGCCTATGAGACTCCTGATAGAAGACATCACCTCCAGCGAGTGCACATCGAACAAATGTGTCACACGGGGCTGACGATCCCGTTCGTCTTCTAGTGAAGAGGTAAGGACATGAAACAGTTCATGAGCATCCTATTAAATAGAGGCATAAGGCTTAGAGGAAGCAAAACCAAAAGATATCAAAACATACCCCAAGGAGTACTGACAAACAACTACTAGAGTAGGAAATTAAAGGAAAACTTACTGCTTAGAGCCCACCTTGTGTATTAATAGCGATTATTTGCACATCTGCAAACTTCACAGCCAAGGTTCAGATGTAACACTCAGGGATGTTAGTACCACATCAACTCTCTTTTAGTCCCAGTCTGAGCACTGAGGTGGGCATCAGGCAGTCTAACATGAGTTCTGTACTCACCTGCTCTTCAAATGATGAGATCTGCCACCTGTACATTCTTAGCACTTCTAAGAGGCAGCTTGCATCCAGGACATCCTCTTCTGTTGCCTCTTGACAGGATAAAGCTGGAGACAGTGCATGTGAAAATGTCAGCAGGAGCCACAAAGAACAGTTACAACACAAACTATCCATTTAGACCGTTTGTTACTTCTGCATCATATAATTGATGACAGGAGAGTTATTTTATGGCAGGCAGACAATCACCATCAAACTAATGTGCTTAATCACCATTCCCATCTGACTCAGGCTGACTGACCTCATACACTCTCCTCAGCTAACACCTATGCAGAGTGGTTTCTCAACTATAATATAAATACTAATAACAGAAACACTGTCCAGAAAGACAAATTTGTACTGGTGGATTAGGTGAAAAATGGTACTTTACATGGCACAGAAACCTTTACATGCCCATCATCCTTCCCTCAGTTAAATGTACACACTTAACTGGCACCATTTTAGTATGAACAACATCCCAAGACAGGAATGCTTCCAATGAAGTTTAAAACAAAACCCTGTGAGGAAAGCCAGAGTGAGCCATGAGATTCCTTATATATTTTGTGTGCTTAAATAGGAGGTAGCTGATCCATGAATTCAGCACAGGGACAAGTCTCACACAGGCTACCAAACGGGGCCTGGAGGCTTTAGCATTTTTATCCAAGGTCATACAAAGCATCTAATCTAATAGTCCATAGTTCTGGTAAAATAGCAAGCTTGGGAAGAAATGCTTTAATTATTTTATAATGCATTTTTAATAGAGAATTCTGAGTGCCCATCTGACTGTGATAATATTTTCCTATTTAATTATGCTGAGTCCATATTCATACTGGTTTAACTCTTAGTACTCTGAAGACTAAATACATTAAAGCCTGTGGCACTGAGTTCCATAACCACATTTTGAGCACCCCTCTACTTTGATTTATTCAACCACTGGCCAACAGCTTCTCCAGAGCAATGTGCACGATGCTGGGGTGGCTGCTTCTCCATTGAATTCAATATTTAAACTAAAATCAAACTAAAACCAGAATACAAGGCTACAGGAGCTGCCTTTCTTTAGGAAAGGAGGTGAGGAACGATAACATTTATGCTTAATATTTCCTTCTTAGTTTATCACATCATGGCAAACATCGCAGTACCTCTTAGGAGATGCAGCAGTGTGACTGACAGGTATTGGTGCTCAGTGGACTGGCTCTGCTCTGTCTTGTACTGTGCTGTGAATTCCTCCAGCCACTTGATGAAAGACGGGCAGGAAGATAAGCCTTGCAGCAAAGAGTTCATGAAACACGTGTTCCCCAAGTTCAGGAGGCCAGGTACAAGCCCTACAAACAGAAGTGAGGGAGTTAACACTATAAAGTCTAGGGCAAAGTGGCTGTCTTTCAGCAGCAAGT